TACTTGGGGCATATTGTCTCAAAAGGGGGAGTCAAGACAGATCCAAGCAAGACGCGGCAAATCGAGGAATGGCAAGTACCAAGAAACATACAGGAGGTGAGAAGTCCCTTGGGCCTGGCATCATACTACAGGAGGTTTGTAGCTTCCTTTGCAGAAATCGCCAGACCACTTCACAAGCTCACAGAAAAAGACAAGGACTTCAGCTGGACGCATGACTGCCAATTGGCTTTCGAACAACTGAAACAGCGACTCACTTCTGCTCCGGTTTTGGCATACCCGAAACTTGACGCAGAATTCATTCTGGACACCGACGCCAGCAATAGCGGAATAGGTGCTGTTCTTAGCCAACTGCAAGATGGTCAGGAGCGCGTAATTGCTAACGCCAGTTGTGCCTAGTCAAAGCCAGAGCAAAATTACTGTGTAACGAGAAAGGAGTTGCTTGCTGTCGTACACTTCATCAAACACTGTCGACCTTACTTATATGGGTGCCGCTTTCTTCTTAGAACAGATCATGGATCTCTCCGATGGCTCTTCAATTTCAAAGAAACAAAGGGGCAGGTTGCAAGATGGCTGTAAGTGCTGGCAAAATATGACTTCAATATTGAACATCGACCGGGACGCAAGCACAGCAATGCCGATGCCATGTCACGAAAGCTGTGCACTTGTACACGGTGTAAGGGCGACCAAGTTTAGCAAGGATACGACAGCAGGGAACAGCCATCGCGTGAAAATGCCAACAAATAGAAAGGTTGTGGAAAATTCAAGAGCAAGATCCAGACCTGCCAACTGAACCAGTCCATTCACTACCTGCACAGCATCATACACACAGTTCAGACAGCAGTCAGTTCATTCGTGAGGTGTCGTCTTTCTGTTGGCTGAAAGGTTTCACTGCTTCGGAGTTGATAGAAAAACAAACAGGTGACAGACTCTGCAGAAGATCATAGGCTGGCTGGAAAGTGGAAATCTACGACCAACTTGAAAAGAGGTGTCTGCTGAGGGTACATGGCTCAAAACCTTATGGGGGCATGGCAGCAGCTTTGTTTGCACGACGGCGTGTTATACAGGCGTTGGAACAAGGATGATCGGCACCACTCTCGGTGGCTTTTAGTAGTCCCCAGGTCCCTCCATGAGGACGTTTTCAAGCAACTTCATGACCCTACAGCTGGCCACCTCGGCATTAACAAAATGCATGCAAAGGTGAAGTCCAGATTCTTCGTAGAGGACTTGAGAGACTCAGTTGTGACGTGGTGTACCCAATGCCTCCAATGTGCCAAACGCAAACCTCCTCCCAACAGGGGCAGAGCACCAATTAGACAACAGGTCTCCGGGGTTCCGATGGAAAGGGTCGCCATTGATATTACAGGACCATTTCCGATTACAGAAACAAGAAAAAATCGATACAACCTTGTCATCACGGATTACTTCTCTAAGTTGACGGAGGCCTTTCCCCTACAGGATGTTACAGCCCAGACGGTTGCCAATGTCTTTGTCAGAGAGTTTGTTTCTCGACTCGGTGTACCGCGACAGCTGCATAGCGACCAGGGTCGCCAATTCAAGAGCAAGCTGTTTCAAGAGTCGTGTATAATCCTTGGAATAGATAAGACCAGGACGAGTCCCCACCATCCCCAAAGCGACGGCCAAGTTGAACGATTCAATCGCACGCTTAAAGACATGCTGCGCGCCTATGTTGCTGAAAATCAGTTGGACTGGGACCTTCATTTACCACTAGTGATGATGGCATATCGGGCATCATAGCATAGCAGCACTGGACAAACACCCAACTATTTCACTTTTGGTAGGGAAGTAGAACTCCCGGTAGACCTTGTTTTAAGATCCCCAGAAGAACCCCAAGAAATCACTGAATATGCCATATACCTGAGAGAAAGAATGCACGAGGCCCATGAGAAGGCACGAGTACACCTTCATAGGGCCGCAAAGCACCAAAAGCGGAATTACAAGGTAGCAGGCAAGCCGAAGTGTCTGGAACCAGGGACTGCTGTGATGTTGACAGTTGAGCAAAGAACTGTTGGGCTGTCTCCCAAGCTCCAGCCAAGACGGGAAGGCCCATACCTTGTAACTGAAGTGCTAAATGATGTCAACGTCAGAATCCAACGAGGATCACGCCATAAGCCCAAAGTTGTCCATATTAATCGTCCGAAGCGCTTTGTGGGTGAAGTTTACAAGTCATGGTGGAGGCCAAAGAGCCATGCATTACAGCAACTTCCTGGGTCCGAGGAGCTCGAAGAGGAGGGGGAAGAGGAAGCCCCTCGAGTTGTTCTGCAGCCGGATACTTCTGGTGGAGGCAAGGAGAGCAAAGAGGCTACCACAGAAGGGTTCTCACAGGAATCAGCAGAAGACCACAACATGCAGGAACATATTGAAGTCGTCAATGGAGAGATTGGGGTTCCACCAGTTGCTGAACCTAAGAAAGCTTCAGACACAGACGGTCACCATGAAGGGCACAACAGAAAACGTCGACCTCCTCAGCGTTATGGCGAATGGACCGAATAACATTTTTAACTACGGAGCAAATACGAACTAACCTAATCCCCTGTTCTCTGTTGTATTCTCTGCAGATGCCGAGAAGAAGTCACAGCCGTCATCACCGGGATTCTCCTCGCCGATCGCCCACACCTGACCGAACCCACCAACGACATGATGAATGAGCGGAAAGCTGCAGGTGCCTCGAATGCGATAAGTCATTTGGGGCCACGTCAGCATTGGCAAGGCACATGGCCGAGCAACACCAACCACGTGATCGGTTCCCCTGTCCGTTTTGCGACATAATCTACGGCCGGAAAAACGACTTGGCAAGGCACATCCGACGGGTTCACACAGGCAATCTTGATGCAGGCAACAAGTCGCCGGTATCAGTCAGCAACTCCCCCAAAGCTCTCAAGACGCCCGAGATCTCCAAGACGCCCGTATAGAAGTCCGGACCGTGCCTGGAATTACACTTGTCTCCAGATGACGTGAGGCGTTTTGTTTCGCCACAAGGTGCAACATCCTTAAGGCGAGCCCTCAAATTAGAATCCCTCCTCGGACCGTTCGGGGTTGAGCCCGCCCAGTATGTTGAAGGGATTGGGACCTTGCATGGAACCGATCGGCCTGGATTAACTCCACCAGGCTTCTGCACCATGGCTCTGGCTCATCACAAAGGAACCAATTTGCGACGCGCTAATCCTCCAGTAGGCAACAATGACTGTGATTAGCTTCATAGAAGTTGCCGCTGGTAATCCCAGTGGGCCGAATAATCCTCCAACAATGGCCGGACTTCAATTTATGTTGCCTATTGTGAAACCCTGAGTCACTAGTTTGGACCGATTGGGGCGTCACGCTTCAGTGACCGGGTGACTTCTGGTTTCGTACCGATTGGGGTGAAAGAAATTAGCATACCGGACCCGGTACCCGAACGGTCTGTTATCTGATGGCTCGCCTAAGGAAAGTTATCACACCCCCAAGTTCTGCAACGGTTTCAGGCCAATCAGATGAGGCAACAGGAAAGCTCGTCAAGCGGAGGCGCGTTTTCGACCTCTACGATGAGGATTCCTTGATCGCGAGGATTACTTCGGAGGAATCTTTCAGGAGTAGGACATGGTGGTCAACCTATAGTTTTAAATGTTCTTGTTTTTTTAGAACCTTAACTTGTTAGTGGCGTTTTTCTAGTTAAATTTGTTGTTCGTGAATGCGGGACGCATTCTTTCCCCGGGGAGGGGATGATGTAGAGTTTGCAGAATCCAGTATAGGTGGCGCTGTTTACTTTTAGTGGAGGTTGGGGTCATGGGCGTCGCGAGGAGGGGGCAAGGGGGGGCACTTGCCCCCCCTACCCCCCCCCTGGAAAAGCAAAAAAAAAAAAAAAAAAAAAGGAAGAAAAAAAAAAAAGAAAAAAAAAAAAGAGGCGCGAAGACAAAGTGGCGTAAATTTAATGAGTTGGGGGGGGGGGCAAAATGTCCCTGCCCCCCTCTAAAACTGATAAATCGAGAATGTGTTGAGAAATACAAGCATTTTTTGGCGAAATTTGTTTTGCCCCCCTCTAGAAAAAAATCCTGGCGACGCCCATGGTTGGGGTCAGCGCAAGTCAGCGTGAAATTGGCTTGAAAAGTGCGTGCGTGCGCGCGCGCGGTTAGTTGCTGTACAGATCTTGGTTGTGAAGGTTGGTCTGAAAGGCCAGCTCCGTATGTACACAACCCAGGCTCTACGTTGCGATTACCAGTATAGTGCAGCTAAATGTAAATCACAAGTAAAATACTGATATCGTGTGTTCATTGTTTGGATGTTTGGAGGAAAGAATTAGAAGTTAAGAAACCGGAATATTGGTGTCATTTGTGTCTTATTCTGTCTGTCCACTGAATAAAATTGAACCACCGAAAACGCTACAGTATGGAAATAAGGATGGGGCACAACGTGCCTTCCCCTCGTCCTCAAAGGACATGACAGGGTCAATGTTGGTAGGGATAATCATACTGGTAGTAAATGTAGCAGCCCGGCCCCCAAAACAATCTGGGATTCTCATTTACACCCGCATATTACCACATCAAAATCAAGTTTTGTTTAATCGGCTGTCATGGTGATCATAAAAAAAAATCAAAGTATATTTTCAACCCAACACACATTACTTCAAAGATAGGATCATCAAATTCAACAGTGATCGACAACTGCAAACGTGAGGTTTTGAAATGGTCTAGCTAAGCTGGCCTGCTATTGTCAGCAAACCAGCCGTGGTTTTGCGGACATACTCTCCAAATTCCAAAGAGTGAAAATTCACTCCATTCGAGTGAAGATTAACTTCCACAGTCGGAAACTAGGGACTAGACGTTTGACAGTAAAATTTCTTCAATCGCAAAGATCGAGTCTCCACTCGAGCTTCGACTGAAGTGGTTCTTTGTTTTCAGACTATTTCAATCGAAAATGAGAGTGATTTCACTCTAAAACGTCTAGTCCCTAATTTCACTCTTTGGAATTTTTAGAGAGTACCTCAGGGGATAGATATTACATCTTACCTGCCATTGCTGACAACATCAGAACCAAAGCTGCTGCTCCATCCATGTTCCTAGATGAGGTGAATTCAGAGCACGAATGCGATAGATGTATAGCCTATATCAATGACTCAAGCACCTACGCGAATTAAAAGGCTACGCATTAAACCACTGAACAAAAATCGGGTAACAGCCTCAACTCGAAAACTTGCCCAAAACTTTGTCTGATAAGTGCAAATATTGGCAATCCGTTTTGTTGTTTGTATTCTTCAGCGACTCACACACACCAACGCGACCTACTAGAAGTAAGCTACGCATGTAGAGTACTGCACGACGATGGGGAATTTGCATAAGACCGTGTCTGACGCTATGATCGACGCTATGATCGAGAGTCTGTTATGTTGATAGAATCACCGATAGGAAAAACCACGGCACAGCTCACCCCAGCAGCTGCGTAGCCGTATACCACGGATCAAAATTACGTTATGGCAAACCTAGCCAATCAGGAACTAGCCTGGAACGTTAAAATTATGATACAAAAATGTACAAACATTGTAATAACGTAGTTTGTGATAAGGACGTTATAGATTGCCTTGAAAATCGCATAATGCCCTGAAGCCAACAAACTTGCTCAATTAACGAACCTTTATAATTAACCACTAATGAAGGTTTGGAAATTGTGAAGCGAGAGCGCAGATATTGCAATTAAGAAGTTTTGTCCTTGATATTAACGTGATCATAGGATTTTGAAGGGGACGCTAAAATGCCATGAAAAGGCGACTTATTAAAACGCATTATGCCCTATAGCCAAAAAGCGTGCTTCCATTAACGAACCTCCGTAATGAAACGCTAATTAACTTTGAGAAATGTGAAGCGAGAGCGCAGATATTGCAATTAAAAAGTTTTGTCCTTGATATTAACGTAATCATAGGATTTTGAAGGGGTCGTTAGAATGCCATGAAAAGGCGACATATTAAAACGCATAATGCCCTGAAGCCAACAAGCGTGCTTCCATTAACGAACCTCCGCAATGAAACGCTAATTAACTTTGGGAAAATGTGAAGCGAGAGCGCAGCTATTGTTTGAAAGACAATTTGTCATTTGAATGAAATTTTATCTGGTGTGTCTTTCGATATAGCCATTTTAAATTGGTTGGAATGGAAAAATAGAACTGGCCAGTATGATAATAGAAACGTTATGGTCCAATGCATGCTGGAAACTAACCAAATCCGTCGGGAATTTGCTTACTCATAATTGAGGTTTAAACAGTAATGTGGCTGTTTTTCTAATAGTTTTGAAAACAATAAAGTAGAAAATGTAACAAGTTATAATGGGCTATGATTGCATTAACAGTAGACTGAAATTCATTTTATGCCGTTTGTATTATTACCTGTGATTTAATTTCACTTTAATTTTAAATATATTCCCACTTTGCAATATAATTGAAAGATTTTTGTTTGAACAAAAAGCGGTAAATATGTTTCAGGAAGTCCAAGATCGGTGCATGCCAAAGGTTGGGGGGGGGGGTGGTGGGTGGATGGGTGTTTCCCCTCGACATGGTTGGTTTCCCAGAATAGGCGGGATAATGTACTGCCATCTTAAATGGAATAGACCCTCGGTACCAGAATTTGCTAGTCGTTGTTGCTAATTAACTAATTGCACATGGAGGTTACAACTGGCTGCCTGCTATCACTTATTAATCAGTCTGCCGACATAATGTCTAGAATAACTTATACCTAATTAATTTTAATGGCCCTGTAACAGAACTTATTATGCAGTCGAAGCAGAGTCAGTAAGAGTACAACGTCAAATGATAAAAACATTGTACTGAAAACATTCGATTATATTATGCATTCGTTGGGTGTATAGATACTTCTACCCAATTTTCTGTAAAGGTATTATGCATTTTTTTTTTCAAATATAAAAAAACCACCAAATAATTATAAAATACCTTACTTGCTTGTAAATGAATAATAGCATCAGCAGCGGAAGCAGCAGCAGTAATGCCGGCGAATGGGGTGTCATGGGGGATGACCAAAATCCAAAAATTGCCTGGCCGTTGCAATGCGAAAAGCGGTGGGGGGGGGGGGGGGGCTGGACACCGCATTACACTAGGGGCTCTTCAAGATGTAGATGTATTATCAATATGTATACTCTTGCCTACATCAAAACGGCGCATTTTAAAAGCTTTTGTACTTTCCCCCCCACTTTTCAGTGCTATTAAATGCAGAAAATAATACATGTAGTGGTATTAATATAGGCCTTTGCAAAAAATAACGAAAAGAGCCTGCTTGGTAACGGGGGTATTTGTACACTATCGTGTAAAATAGTATTAATTATCGTAGCATTTGAACAGCGACCCCATTCAAAGTATGGAACGAGCCCCATGACTGCAACCTTTAGACTACACGAAGCAGTCTAAAGGCTAAAGGATGCAGGCTCGTTTTGGGTGGAAATCTACCGCCGCAAGAATTGATCCCTAAACCTTCTGTTAATTAGGCAATAACACAATAACAAGGACAACTGGCAACTGAATGGTCTGTAATCTCAAGTAACAACGATGATTTATTTCAGAGACAACAATTAAATGATTAATTGATTTGGGAGTAATTGTCTTGCGTAGCTTTATTACAACCTGTGATTTTTGGAATATGAGCCCTATTTGCAATACACAACCAATGCTGCACTGCATAAACAATATCGCATTGCATAGCAGCTACGCATGTAGAGTACTGAACGACGATCTGCAGGAATGAGCATGACTTACTGAGACCAAACCTGATTGACGCAATGATCTACTTAAGAACGGCTTTATTACCGCTAATTACTATTGTATGGTGCGGAGGCCGATTTCTGCACGGCTGAAAAAGTAAAAACATACCGCCATAGCGAAACATTTCTCAATGCACATGCTTAATAGCTTAACGAAATAATCCCCCGGCGCAAAAGCATTTCTACGCACGTACTGCTTTATAACATAACCCCCAGAATTGCAAAATGCTGCAATGTACTTTATCATGCAATAATATTACGCCGGCCTAAATGTTCGAAATAGTAATGCTTTTGCGAATTACGCAATAATGCAACCTTTCACATTATTGAGAAATACATATAAATGTCCGCGTTATAGTCCAATTCGTCAAGTTGTCATGGCATTTAGATGTTTTGTTTACTATGTAGAAAAGCCTGCCCAGCACATGAATGTACTGGAAATCATTCTAATTAAACACACAAAAAAATAATTCCTTAGCGGGCGACTAATTTTTGAACTTTAACTCGTTCTTAAGCACAAAATGCACCGGAAAAATCTATTCTTAAACTGCGGATCTTGCATTCTGGTCACGTTAATTAGCTTTTAGTAAAGGTTTCACGCTTGTGCTCAAAATTCTAATTTAAGGTGAATAACTAAGCAGTAATTAGGCCATTCTTAAGCATGGAATGCACGGGATTTTTCATTCTTAAACAATTGGTCATTGATAAGTTCATCGAATACTATCTTTTCGTGTTGGAATCGTGCTTGTGCGCGACATTCTAATTAAAAGTCAATTTTGGGGGGTCTTTAGGCGGTGCCCCCTCCCAAACGCACGGGGTGTGACACTTAAGAATAACGGTTTCGAAGGTTGGACACCCCCACCTACTCGCTGCCACCATCAGACCTTTTGTGCGCGATATTCTAATTAAACCTCACTGGGCTCTCGGACTATTTTATATAGAGTGAAATTTTGTCAGCGCTATCGGAGAGAATCACCTGAATGCTTCAGCTGAATTAACCACGACGACATCCAAGCAGCTCCAATCGCAGAGCGGCACGAGCATACCGTTCAGTAGGCTCAATGCGTACTACCGTGGCCACCACACTCTCGTCAAACAGGTTAGTGACCGGGGTGTTTCTATCAGTGTTACCGATGAACACCTGAAATGAATCCCAACGCAATAAACGAAGATTTGTATAAAAATAGCCTACTTGTAGTAAAGTCTAGGACCAAAACTTCAAAAAGGTGGGCATTCTTAGCTGACGGGGTCTTCCTTCGAAACAGAATTTCAACAAACCGTAATAACTGCATAAAGTAAACTGCTTATCTTGGGTGGGCACTCACTTTTCTGAACATTCTCAGCGATATTATAGACATAATGACCTATTATAGACATTATAGACATACGTTTCCGTTTCAGCTTCAGAGCGTTTTGCTATTTTGGGACCAAAATCTGGACTAAATTGGACTAAATTGGTTTTGTTTAAGCGTGTGAAATTTTTCGTGGACGAAATTGAATGATAGAGTTGGTGAATTTGAATGAAAAATCTTTTAAAATAGCTGAGAAAACTAATCAAAAGCAGGACATGCTTTTTTGTTCACACGTGGTATAATCAGACGCGATTTCAAAATGGCTAAATGGTTGCATGAGCATGGAACCGTAGAAAGTCGTAAATAATGAAGTTATCATATTGCGATAAAAGCCCAAACAAAATATGAGGAAAAAAAACCTTTACATTTTCTTTTCAAAACTGTTTTACGAACGAAAGCTTAATGTAGCTTACAGCAAGACTTAGTAAAGATTGATGTTTACCTTGATGTTTCCGTTTCCATCCGTCACGTGTTCACGGTCGGATGAGGGCTGCTTCTTATACGCCACCTTGTACGCAGTTACATGCGAACCGCGGCCGGCGCCTTGTGTGATGACTCCAGTCACCACTGTACTCTGGACGAGGTCCACCTCGATCCAGGGATTGGCGTCGTCACTGTACACAGAGTGAAGAGAGGATGAGGAACAATGAAATAACGATACTCCGCAAATCCGCTTGTGGAATGGATTTGAAAATCAAATATTATTATTAAAACTCGTTACAGTGTGCAATTCAAATGCGCATGAGTCCGGGTTGGGCTTTGGCCGGAGATGATAACTTTTTTTTTTGGATAATGGAAAGGAGAACCATTGCAAAAAAGAAAAACAATGCCAAACAAAATAAAACAAAACGTACAGAAACAAAACCCCACTGAGGCAATTAGATGTTCATTAATTAAACACACTCAGGAGGGTTTTGTGGCATTGTAATGATACAGAGTGAATATGAGAGTGAAGTGTCAGGTGTTGTATTTCCCTTTGATATCTACCTCGAGGCTAACCATCCCTTGTCATTGTTGAGGCGTGCCTCCCGGGCTGGATATGTAGCGCTCCAAATACTGGACGTCGTGATGCGATCATCTTGGATTGTCCCGTCCTCCATACCAAGGGGTTGCAGACTGGAACACTCTGCTGGCAACAAATGAGTAAGCAAATGAAATATTTATTCATATTGATAGTTTAAAAAAAAAACAGTGATATTGAGAGAATGATAATTTGATCGTTACTGCAAATTTTACCTTACAAACATTACATTGATAGTAGGGCCTCGTTATTGCAAATAAGAAAAAGCCCCCCCCCCCCTCGAATTGGGCAGTGAGAAACGTTTTGAATTTAGGAGAAAATACAATGAGCATGACAATACACCAATGGTTTTTCCGTTGTTTATCTTTGTTGGGTTTACTCTGGGGGGGTGCACAAAAACACCTGAATGGATTTTCTTTCAATTGGGAGGAGTTGGGTAAGCAGCTTTCGATGAAACTTGATTAACGGTTAAAAAGAATATATTTAAAATGTTCAAACTCAATGCTATAACCTTGTGAAAGAACAGATCCATATGCTTATTAGTCAAACCTACGATATGGGATATTTTACGACGACTTAAAGTAAGGTATGTTTCCACGAGTCAGATAAGGTGGGTTTCTTCGTACCAGCCGAAGTAGGTTTCTCCGTAGCAGCTGGGCTAGGTTTCTCCGTACCAGCTGATGAGGAAGGTTTCTCCGCACCTGCTGGGGTAGGTTTCTCCGTACCGGCTGGGGTAGGTTTCTCCGTACCAGCTGGGGTAGGTTTCCCCGTACCAACTGGGGTAGGTTTCTCCGTACCAGTTGGGGTAGGTTTCTCCGTAACGGCTTGGGTAGGTTTCCCCGTATCAAGTGGGGTAGGTTTCTCCGTACCAGCTGGGTAGGTTTTAGATTGATAGTAGGGCCTCGTTAGTGCAAATATAAAAAAAACCTCCCCTCCCTCGAATTCGGCAGTGAGAAACATTTTGAATTTGGAAGAAAATTCAATGTGCATGACCATGCAACAACGGATTTTTCAATCTTTTCTTTTTTGGTTTTACTCTGGGGAGTTGCTAGACTTGATGACAAGTCGTTACAAACCCGTATTTTGTCCGTGAACTTCAGTCGAGCTCCATCGGTGCGGCTGGTATACGACTAGTACCTAATCGTATAATCTACGTTCTAGCACCGTTATTCATATATGCAAGCAGTGAAATACATAATGCAGTGCATTTTTCCGGTGAGATCCAATCGCGCACCGCTATGCAAATGAGGTCTCATTGATTCATTCCGTTACATGTGGAGTTCTTCTCAATACGTCAGGGACATGTTTGCAGTTCTGGCGACGTTTCTAACGACCAATACACTCAGCTTGCTCAATTGTGTATCGAAAAGAAATGTATCATTGTGATAAACTTGATTTATTTGAGTCGTGTATGCCCTATAATGAATTTTGTGATGTTACACAACACAAAGTACAAACCCTCGAAGTAATGAGAATGATCTTCCGTGCCGGCCTAGAATACACTCTGGAATCTGAACCAATCAGAGTGCTCCCATAGAGTTCGCAAATAAATCAAAATCAAAAAACTCCCATATGTTGTGTACAAAATTGAAAACGTTTTCTCCAAGTTGGTAATTTATCAGAAATAGTCAGCATTATTTGGTCTGGGAACCAGACTGCGCGCATTGCAGCGATATTTTGCGTGCGTGGAGCCAGTAACCGGTTAACGTACGCAAAACAAATACGGACTTGGCACCAAGTCACAAAATACACCGGATATTTTTTTTAATTGGGAGGAGTCGTGTAACATTTTTGAGGCAAAGAAGCAAACATGAAACATATTTTATTTCAGCAGGCCTTTAACGTCAGTTGCAGTCTTCGACGAACCTTGATATTCGGTAAACAACAAAAGTTCGATCTCAATACAATACATAACCTTGTGATAGAACAAATCCACATGCTTGTTAGTTATATCTAACGTATGGGTGATCATAGGACGACTTACCCGCTAGGGTGGGTTGTCTCCTTCCCGGGCAACGCTTCCGTATCTCTTGCATGACTTGCTTCATCCAGTCATCCGGATTATCAGGATCAGGTTCCGGTGGGGGACCGGAGTAACACACCCTCTGCTGGCTCTCCACACCAACCAACAGCACTTTGGAATTAATTACATTAAAACATAGATGCTAGCCCATAATGCCATAATGGTCGCTCTATAAAACAATGTGGCTAGTAAAATATCAACTTGGTATTTTTCACAACTATACGACAATCAAATAAAAAACAATTCATGTTTGAGGTGTAAGCCTACTGCATTACATGCGTCGCCTCTGATCCGGGGTCCCCATCCTCATTTTTCCACAATCATTTTATCCCAGTTCGTAAATATTTTAAATATTTAACCTAATATTACTATATGTGCATTGTATTTTACAGTGCAAAACAGCTAAAAGATATTGATATTGCACTTCATTGAAATCGCGAAATATAACGAACGAGTAAAATGTCCGTCTTTATGTATGTCTGCAAACATACATAAACACGGACACACATACAACCATTTATATCCTTGTGGAGTCATTTTTTGTCGTACATGTACATACATACATACAAATCGAAGAGCGTCCTCTATTGTCAAATGGTGACAGTCATATGGTGAACCCCCCCCCCTCCCCCCCGCTTAAATCTGGTTCCCAGACCAAAAATATTCTGACTACTTATATTTGTTATGCTTGTTATTTTTTTAAGTTGAGTTGATAATTGATATTCATTGGTTGCATTGAGTTTGAGAGGCAAAATCTCGTTCCCAGGGTGTTGAGCAGTACCCGCCTACCATTACCAGCTCTCTCACCCTGGTATTGGATCAATTGCACGTGCTTAAATTTTTAACACGTATGCAAAGAGAAATATTCTGGTGCCTGCCTGTGCGTTACAATTGCGTTGGTTTTTGTATGCGGTGTCTTGGGTAAAAACAGAATCAATTCATATTAAAAATGAGCAAATTGGAAAGAAAATGAATATTTTTGAGAAGGCGTTGACGTTATAATGACAATGATCGCCAACCCATGTAATGCATGTTGGAAATAACAACACCAAGTACACGATACAAATCCATTACTAGCCAATTTCGGTATCGAATCAGGATACAGGAAAACATGTCCTATCCAGGGCCTGCTTCTGGAAACGAGGCTGGAATTAAAATAAGCACTGGGGACGAAGTTGCGATTAACGAGCTTTTCTGCGTCATTTCCTTTTTGGAATCGGAGGACGGTCACCTATACGTGTATTCCAAAACTCGGCTTGGTCTTCATTTCGGCTTCGCCCACTATATGGGTTCCTAACTTGAAGATTCCAGTTCATCATTAATACTGAGCTCAATGTTTCCTTTAAAGAAATATCGAACTGTATGATATACGAAGCATTTTTTTCTTAAATTTGATCGGAACTTTAAAAGCTTTCAATTATAAAGTCCAAGCGGTGACGAAGCTGAGCTTTGAAAAAAAGGGTCGTCATGTTAATTTTATGCCCGGTGGCAGCTGCCTGACCTACAATTTATAGACGTCCGGGCGGAATTGTGAGGTCAGGGAACCAGACTAGACGTAATTCACGATCCGAGGAAACCATTTTCGATCATGTTCCCCGAATCTATTTGACAAATTGTAAACTGTTGAATAGGATGGTGCCATACCTGTGTTTTTTGACGTCTCATCCTCAATTTCATTATTTTAAAGGTAGTTTAAAACATAAGGGTATGTTTAATCAATGATGGTTTCTTAACAATTCATGAGAGCAATTTGGAATGAATCTTTCCTTTCTACTCTCAAGTTCAACAAATGAAGAATTTACCTCGCTTTGAATTTAACATGGCCGACACGCGAATAAGGTGTATTGATCTTTGGCGGTTAAAAAATTGACATCTGCTTTTCAGCTAACAGAATTGCAGAAAAGCTGATTGAACGTTTTTTGTCGAAATGCGTTTTCTAATTTTCTGATTGTCTGTCACAAGAAAATTCAAAGCAGATTTTGCTAAAATGCGCTTTGGTACTTTTTGATTTTCTGCTACCATAAATTTAGCTGATTGAACTTTTTGCTAAAACGCATTTTGCTACCTATGAGATATTCTGCTTCAAAAAAGCAGGTTTTAATGGCGGTTCAAAAAGGTACATCTGCTTTTAAGATACCAGAAAAGCAGATTGAACTTGTTGTCAGGTGGTTCAAATTCACAAGTGGACATCTGCATTTCTGCTACAAGAAAAGCAGATCAAAAATGTTGTCAGAATTAGAAAACGCATTTTAACAAAACATTCAAATTGCTTTCTGTTTAGCAAAAAAGCAAAAAAAGTAGAAAAGGCATCAAACAGCTTTTCGGCTTTTCAGTTAAGCTTTTGGATCACCATAATTGACCCCACTAATGTATGTACCGAATTTTAAATAATTTGAAGGAAATATCGAAACTATGAATATATTCACCAAAAATGTAATGACGCTCCCTTTAGAAGTCACCGTCGCGCTAACAAGTGAGGTTATGTTTTGGATTATAATTGGCCAACCAACATTATTGCTCAATTTTAGGGGGGAAAAAGTGGCTGACGTACTTGGAATTAAGGGTGGGGACACAATACTTCCGCAAGCAGGTCTGATATTGACGCTTGTCTGGTATTGGCAGTCGGAGGATCGACGTACTCAAGGTGATAGATTATTAAATCTTACCTGCCATTGCTGACAACATCAGAACCAAAGCTGCTGCACCGTCCATTGTCCAAGATGCAGGTGTATTCTGAGCACAATGCGCTAGGATGTATTTAACGACTCACACACCAACGCGACTACTGAACAACAATGGGAAGAGAGCCTCAACTTAACACTTTACTGGAATTCTTTCTCTGATCGATGCAATGAATGACACACACACACCACACCAGCTACGCATGTGGAGTACTGAACGACGATCAGGAAAGAGCCTGACTACTAAGACCAAACCTGATTGACGCAATGATCGAGACTCCGTTAGTGTTGATCGTATAAATGATCGAGTACAAAACGCCACTCGCTCGCCTCAGCACCTAAGCAGCCGCAGGCCACGAACAGGCTAACGTCATAGCAAGCCTATAGCCAATCACGAACGAGCCTGAACTTGCCACGAAGGCTTAAACTTTTATGATTTGTTCAATCTTTCAATATGCGTATCACGTTGTAATTACAGTTTCCAGTTTTAACAAAATAGCGTCTTGAAATTAACAAAATATCGTCCTGAAATTGAACAATAAAGACCATCGTGGTCATAAACAGTCAGAAATCGATATGAAACGGTGCGGCACCGCGTACGAACGGAGACGGCTTCCGGTAATAAACACATAATCCTCAGCAGCAATCAAGGTTGTTTGATTACAGAACCGCGTAAACAACGAACCTTTAGAAAACGATACGCATCGAGAGGGCCGTAATATTACAGATATTGCAATTAATATAGTTTGCCTCTGATTGTCAAGGCAGTATTGACAGAAGCCGAACAAGTCAGAAGGCATTGGAATACGAAATGTTGGCGGTGAAACCTCTAGAGCCATTTGCCCATAGACTTTGTGCATAAATATACCCTAAGCTGCCGGCACATACAGCACAGGGACGTAATCGTACATGTACAATGATAACGAAATTGGACATATTATATGAGAACTCAAAATTGTGGCAAAATTGCGAAAATAATTTTCTAACCAGAATTTGAGTCAGTTTGTTTTCTTGCAAATGAATAATTTAAGAGCCTTTTGTGCTTAAAATAAATTGATAACAGTTCATCTCATAATATTGTAGGGTGTACTGTTGTCGGGGTTCAATTTTATTTAATAAAAGGACAGACAAAATAACTCGGAGGCAATCACATAACATTCCAATGTCTAAATGGCTTGTAATCACTTCCTCAGAACAATTAATCAGTGTAATAATTTGAGATTTACCTCATCTCAGTAATCATGAACAACACTCGA